AAATCATCTGATGGAATATCATGCTTAAGACCACCATATGATATACGATTCTAATTCTTAATAGCGCAAGATGTGATACTTTTTTAATGGTTTTAGTAAAGATAGCAATAGCCATGGCCAACCAAGCAAACAAACAAAAAGCAAAAATTAAAGTAAAATTCAGATTGCTAACCTGAGCCAGCAGCTGTAGTGGCTTGCCTATACTTCTTGTCTTGAAGATACCTAGCAGCACAAACGTCCATGAGCTGGACTCTATTGTTCCTTGCTCGGCTACAACATACCCGTCAAAATCCAATTGCAAGAAAAACCCGAGATCTCAAATTTGAAACCTCTCCGGTAATCATAATTTTCACTTTAAGTCCTGCCAAAAGCCTCTTCTTCCGACAGGCCTCCACTGTCATACAGTTCCAAAGTACTATGCATTATTTTCGAAGCCCTAAACTCATTTCTCCTATGAATTGTATATGCTTTGGATAGAAAGGAAGTGTATTGGCTGACGGTACCATATGACTCATCCATCCCTAGAAAAAGTGAATTGGATGTTACTTCTTCTGCACGTATCATGAGGTAGCCTTACTCTCGAATTCTCTCTACCAAAAATTTAATTCAAGTAGCAAGCTGAATCAAATTATCTAAGAGAATGCAAGAGCAAGGCAACCTTATCACACCTACGTAAGAAGTGACATCCAATTTACAATTTTTTTAAAATAGACAAGACGAGTCACATGATGCCATTAGAATACACAGAGGAACTTCCTCTCATGCAACATCAACCAACACACTTCTGCTGTGATGAAAGAAGAAACAGAGGAGCTCGCTTTTAGTAGAATGTGGATAACCATTCAAAGAGATGCCTGCAAAATGAATAAGAACAAATCATCTAATGGAATATCATGCTTAAGCCCAGCATATGATATACGATTCTAATTCTTAATAACGCAATATGTGATACTCTTTTAATGGTTTTAGTAAAGATAGGAATAGCCATGGCCAACCAAGCAAACCAACAAAAAGCAAAAATTAAAGTAAAATTCAGATCGCTAACCTGAGCCAGCAGTTGTAGTGGCTTTGCATGTACTTCTTGTCTTGAATATACCTAGCAACACAAACGTGCATGAGCTAGTCTCTATTGTTCCTGGCTCGGCTACAACATACCCGTCAAAATCCAATTGCAAGAAAAACCCGAGATCTCCAAATTTGAAACCTCTCCGGTAATCATAATTTTCACTTTAAGTCATACCAAAACCCTGTTCTTCCGACAGGCGTCCACTGTCATACAGTTCCAAAGTACCTTGCATTCCTCCTATGAATTATATTTTCTTTGGATGGAAAGGAAGTGTATTGGCTGATGAAACCATATGACTCATCCATCTCTAGAAAAAGTGAATTGGATGTTACTTCTTCTGCACGTATCATAAGGTAGCCTTACTCTCGAATTCTCTCTACCAAAAAATTTAATTCAGGCAGCAAGCTGAATCAAATTATCTAAGAGAATGCAAGAGCAAGGCAACCTTATCACACCTGCGTAAGAAATGACATCCAATTTGCAATTTTTTTAAAATGGACAAGACGAGTCACATGATGCCATTAGACAACACAGAGGAACTTCCTCTCATACAACATCAACCAACACACTTCTGTTGCGATGGAAGAAGAAACAGAGGAGCTCGCTTTTAGTAGAATGTGGATAACCATTCAAAGAGATGCCTGCAAAATGAATAAGAACAAATCGTCTAATGGAATATCATGCTTAAGACCAGCATATGATATACGATTCTAATTCTTAATAAAGCAATATGTGATACTCTTTTAATGGTTTTAGTAAAGATAGGAATAGCCTTTGCTAACCAAGCAAACCAACAAAAAGCAAAAATTAAAGTAAAATTCAGATCGCTAACCTAAGCCAGCAACTGTAGTGGCTTGCATGTACTTCTTGTTTTTAATATACCTAGCAGCACAAACGTCCATGAGCTAGTCTCTATTGTTCCTGGCTCGGCTACAACATACCCGTCAAAATCCAATTGCAAGAAAAACTCGAGATCTCCAAATTTGAAACCTCTCCGGTAATCATAATTTTCACTTTAAATCCTACCAAAAGCCTCTTCTTCCGACAGGCCTCCACTGTCATACAGTTCCAAAGTACTTTGCATTATTTTTGAAGCCCTAAACACATTTCTCGTATGAATTATATATGCTTTGGAGGGAAAGGAAGTGTATTGGTTGACGGTACCATATGACTCATCCATCCCTAGAAAAAGTGAATTGGATGTTACTTCTTCTGCACGTATCATGAGGTAGCCTTACTCTCGAATTCTCTCAACCAAAAAATTTAATTCTAGCAGCAAGCTGAATCAAATTATCTAAGAGAATACAAGAGCAAGGCAACCTTATCACACCTGCGAAAGAAGTGACATCCAATTTACATTTTTTTTTAAATGGACAAGACGAGTCACATTATGCCATTAGACAACATAGAGGAACTTCCCCTCATGCAACATCAACCAACACACTTCTGTTGTGATGAAAGAAGAAACAGAGGAGCTTGCTTTTAGTAGAATGTGGATAACCAATCAAAGAGATGCCTGCAAAAGGAATAAGCACTGAAGCATAATATATTCTGATATGAAGCAAATCATCTGATGGAATATCATGCTTGAGACCAGCATATGATATACGATTCTAATTATTAATAAAGCAATATGTGATACTATTTTAATGGTTTTAGTAAAGATAACAATAGCCACGGCCAACCAAGCAAACCAACAAAAAGCAAAAATTAAAGTAAAATTCAGATCACTAACCTGAGCCAGCAGCTGTAGTGGCTTGCCTGTACTTCTGGTCTTGAAGATACCTAGCATCACAAACGTCCATCAGCTAGTCTTCTTTTCTGATATAAAGCAAATCATCTGATGGAATATCATGCTTAAGACCACCATATGATATACGATTCTAATTCTTAACAAAGCAATGTGTGATACTTTTTTAATAGTTTTAGTATAGATAGCAATAGCCATGGCCAACCAAGCAAACCAACAAAAAGCAAAAATTAAAATAAAATTCAGATCACTAACCTGAGCCAGCAGCTGTAGTGGCTTGCCTGTACTTCTGGTCTTGAAGATACCTAGCATCACAAACGTCCATCAGCTAGTCTTCTTTTCTGATATAAAGCAAATCATCTGATGGAATATCATGCTTAAGACCACCATATGATATACGATTCTAATTCTTAACAAAGCAATGTGTGATACTTTTTTAATAGTTTTAGTATAGATAGCAATAGCCATGGCCAACCAAGCAAACCAACAAAAAGCAAAAATTAAAATAAAATTCAGTTCACTAACCTGAGCCAGCAGCTGTAGTGGCTTGCCTATACTTCTTGTCTTGAAGATACCTTGCACCACAAACATCCATGAGCCAGTCTCTATTGTTCCCGCTCGGCTAAAACATACCCGCCAAAATCCAATTGCAAGAAAAACCCGAGATCTCCAAATTTGAAACCTCTCCGGTAATCATAATTTTCACTTTAAGTCATACCAAAAGCCTGTTCTTCCGACAGGCGTCCACTGTCATACAGTTCCAAAGTACCTTGCATGCCTCCTATGAATAATATTTGCTTTGGATGGAAAGGAAGTGTATTGGCTGATGGTACCATATGACTCATCCATCTCTAGAAAAAGTGAATTGGATGTTACTTCTTCTGCACGTATCATGAGCTAGCCTTACTCTCGAATTCTGTCTACATAAATTTAATTCAGGCAGCAAGATGAATCAAATTATCTAAGAGAATGCAAGAGCAAGGCAACCTTATCACACCTGCGTAAGAAATGACATCCAATTTACAATTTTTTAAAAATGGACAAGACGGGCCACATGATGCCATTAGACAACACAGAGGAACTTCCTCTCATACAACATCAACCAACACACTTCTGCTGTGATGAAAGAAGAAACAGAGGAGCTTGCTTTTAGTAGAATGTGGATATCCATTCAAAGAGATACCTGCAAAAAGAATAAGCACTTAAGCATAATTTTTTCTGATATAAAGCAAATCATCTGATAGAATATCATGCTTAAGACCACCATATGATATACGATTATAATTCTTAATCAAGCAATATGTGATACCTTTTTAATAGTTTTAGTAAAGATAGCAATAGCCATGGCCAACCAAGCAAACCAACAAAAAGCAAAAATTAAAATAAAATTCAGTTCACTAACCTGAGCCAGCAGCTGTAGTGGCTTGCATGTACTTCTTGTCTTGAAGATACCTTGCACCACAAACGTCCATGAGCCAGTCTCTATTGTTCCTGGCTCGGCTAAAACATACCCGTCAAAATCCAATTGCAAGAAAAACCCGAGATCTCCTAATGTGAAACCTCTCCAGTAATCATAATTTACACTTTAAGTCCTACCAAAAGCCTGTTCTTCCGATAGGCGTCCACTGTCATACAGTTCCAAAGTACCTTGCATTCCTCCTATGAATTATATTTGCTTTGGATGGAAAGGAAGTGTATTGGCTGATGGTACCATATGACTCATCCATCTCTAGAAAAAGTGAATTGGATGTTACTTCTTCTGCACGTATCATGAGCTAGCCTTGCTCTCGAATTCTGTCTACCAAAAAATTTAATTCAGGTAGCAAGACGAATCAAATTATCTAANAAATTTAATTCAGGCAGCAAGATGAATCAAATTATCTAAGAGAATGCAAGAGCAAGGCAACCTTATCACACCTGCGTAAGAAATGACATCCAATTTACAATTTTTTAAAAATGGACAAGACGAGCCACATGATGCCATTAGACAACACAGAGGAACTTCCTCTCATACAACATCAACCAACACACTTCTGCTGTGATGAAAGAAGAAACAGAGGAGCTTGCTTTTAGTAGAATGTGGATAACCATTCAAAGAGATGCCTGCAAAATGAATAAGAACAAATCATCTGATGGAATATCATGCTTAAGACCAGCATATGATATACGATTCTAATTCTTAATAAAGCAATATGTGATACTCTTTTAATGGTTTTAGTAAAGATAGGAATAGCCAAGACCAACCAAGAAAACCAACAAAAAGCAAAAATTAAAGTAAAATTCAGATCGCTAACCTGAGCCAGCAACTGTAGCGGCTTGCATGTACTTCTTGTCTTGAATATACCTAGCACCACAAACGTCCAAGAGCTAGTCTCTATTGTTCCTGGCTCGGCTACAACATACCCGTCAAAATCCAATTGCAAGAAAAACCCGAGATCTCCAAATTTGAAACCTCTCCGGTAATTATAATTTTCACTTTAAGTCCTACCAAAAGCCTGTTCTTCCGACAAGCGTCCACTGTCATACAGTTCCAAAGTACCTTGCATTCCTCCTATGAATTATATTTGCTTTGGATGGAAAGGAAGTGTATTGGTTGATGGTACCATATGACTCATCCATCTCTAGAAAAAGTGAATTGGATGTTACTTCTTCTGCACGTATCATGAGGTAGCCTTACTCTCGAATTCTCTCTACCAAAAAATTTAATTCAGGTAGCAAGCTGAATCAAATTATCTAAGAGAATGCAAGAGCAAGGCAACCTTATCACACCTGCGTAAGAAGTGACATCCAATTTACATTTTTTTTAAAATGGACAAGACGAGTCACATTATGCCATTAGACAATACAGAGGAACTTCCCCTCATGCAACATCAACCAACACACTTTTGTTGTGATGAAAGAAGAAACAGAGGAGCTTGCTTTTAGTAGAATGTGGATAACCAATCAAAGAGATGCCTGCAAAAGGAATAAGCACTGAAGCATAATTTTTTCTGATATGAAGCAAATCATCTAATGGAATATCATGCTTGAGATCAGCATATGATATACGATTCTAATTCTTAATAAAGCAATATGTGATACTTTTTTAATGGTTTTAGTAAAGATAGCAATAGCCATGGCCAACCAAGCAAACCAATAAAAAGCAAAAATTAAAGTAAAATTCAGATCACTAACCTGAGCCAGCAGCTGTAGTGGCTTGCCTGTACTTCTTGTCTTGAAGATACCTAGCACCACAAACGTCCATCAGCTAGTCTTCTTTTCTGGTATAAAGCAAATCATCTGATGGAATCATGCTTCAGACAAGCATCTCATATACGATTCTAATTCTTAATAAAGCAATATGTGATACTTTTTTAATGGTTTTAGTAAAGATAGCAATAGCCAAGGCCAACCAAGCAAACCAACAAAAAGCAAAAATTAAAGTAAAATTCAGACCACTAACCTGAGCCAGCAGCTGTAGTGGCTTGCATGTACTTCTTGTCTTGAGGATACCTAGCACCAGAAACGTCCATGACCTAGTCTCTATTGTTCCTGGCTCGACTACAACATTGCAAGAAAAACCCGAGATCTCCAAATTTGAAACCTCTCTGGTAATCATAATTTTCACTTTAAGTCCTACCCAAAGCCTTTTCTTCCGACAGGCCTCCACTGTCATACAGGTCCAAAGTACTTTGCATTATTTTCGAAGCCCTAAACTCATTCCTCCTATGAATTAAATATGCTTTGGATGGAAAGGAAGTGTATTGGCTGATGGTACCATATGACTCATCCATCCCTAGAAAAATTGAATTGGATGTTACTTCTTCTGCACGTATCATGAGGTAGCCTTGCTCTCGAATTCTCTCTACCAAAAAATTTAATTCAGCTGAATCAAATTATCTAAGTGAATGCAAGAGCAAGGCAACCTTATCACAACTGCGTAAGAAGTGACATCCAATTTACAATTTTTTTTAAAATGGACAAGACGAGTCACATGATGCCATTAGACAACACAGAGGAACTTCCTCT